CGGGTCGAGGTACGTAGGCTTCATTGCTAAGGGCGCCTTCCATTCTTATTGCTGTGTACTTGAATTTTACCCAGACTTCACAATGCAGGTCAAGTCCTACCTCTACTGGAGCACTCTCTCTGGAAGCCCCAGCCCCACTGCTCTGAGAGGCAACGGCTACTTAACCTCAGGCTTAGGCCTGTTCAGGAAGGACACCATCTCTCAAAGGACCGTTACTTAACTGCTATGTGAAAGTGTACCTAGTCTGCAGGAGCACTGAGCTGGCCTTGGGCCTTCAAGATAAGAATGGAAAATAAAAAGACTGGTGGGAAACAGAGGCTGTGTCTTCTCTGTGTCAAGGACACTCATTCTAACCTTGGCCCTGATCCATGGCAGTTGTATGTGCCCTTATGTGGGTAAGGGGACAAGAGAAGCTGTGTACCTTCATAACTCCTGCGCCTCCCGATGAGATGAAGGTACTACACCGACTCTGTCTTGCCTTGCACCCAGCTGTAAGGCTAAGTTAACGCAGATTTCGCGTCTTGAATTTGTGGTGTGGCACATTCATTCTCATTCTCTTTCTCTCTCTCTCTCCCTCCCTCCTCCTCTCCTCTTCTCCTCCTCTCCCCTTCTCCCCCTCTCCCTCCCTCTCTCTCTCTCTCTCTCTCTGCGATTCCCAAGTGCTCGCAGGCATTCAGGACTTACATGGTGAATCTTTTGTGGATCCATATTTCAACTGGATCTTTTTTTTTTTTTTTTCAGCTACACTGAATGCTGCCCTATAATAAGGCTTAAAAATGAGCTTGGCTCTCCACTGCTTTGCCTTTGGCCTGTAAGAGCTGGAGGTAATTTGTGGCACAGACAACCTCTTTCTGGAATCAGAGTTCCAGTCTTTTGAGGAATTGGGGCCAAAGGTCCCCAAATCACATTCTAAGAGAGATACAAAAAAGGATGATTTTTTTCCCCAGAATAGATGAATAGAAGATACATTTTTAAATAATGAAAGCAATACAAATTCCAGGATCAAGATGGCAGATTAAACTCACTCTACAATCTCATCCTTGGGCTCCAGAAATTTAAAGATACTAGAAAATATACTTTTAAATTAAAAAAATATTTTTCAATTCTGAGCTTAAATCAAGGAAAGGAAATCTCTAGATGTGAGAAAACCACGGCTGTGAGGAGCCACAAGCTGACTGTGCCTGCTGTAACTCTGGAAGAGGTGACATGCTGAGAGACTGATTTCAAAGCCCAATATGGCCAGACTCAAAGTATACAGAGCCCACAGGTATGATACGGAGCTGGAACCAGGTTCCCGGTGTGAAGCAGGAAAATGCAAATGAGGGGACCTGATCTGCATAGTCAGTCAGTAACCAAAAGATAGAACATCAAATTGAAACATAATGTAACACCTGGTCAAAGGTGTTACATCTCAAAATATTCAGGAAGAGACAAACACAAAGCACCTCATCAGTACTTGCTCCTGCAGCACATAGACTAAAAAAGCACCTCATCAAATGGTCTCCACAAGCACACGTAGTCCCCAAGATAATTCACTCCCTTGACAAATAACTTACCAGCAAGAATTAGAAGCCACGGGAGGAAATACAGCATCCTAAAAGGCAGAATATGACTCAACAAACAGGAGAAGTCACAGTTGAGCATCTAGAGTTAATAGGGTACTCTGAAAAAAAGGCTTTAAATATGCTTAAAAGAATGCATATTAAAAAACAAAACAAAACAAAAACAAACAAACAAATAAAAAAACAGTTCAAAAAAGAAATAGAGAACACAGAAAGTTTTTCCCGTAATCTCAACTCCAGATATAAACTGTTGCTCAAGTTGGGGAGTAAACTCTTCCAAACTCGGTGATGCCTTTATACAGAGAAAGACATTTTGACATAAATGAGAACATGCTATACACACTGTGTGGTAACCTGGCCTTCTCTTCCTCTCCCCACTTGAAAATATTATCACACTCATTTTCCCACATAAGTATTGGTATAGACTGAATGTCGGGGTCCCCTACAATTCATATGTTGAAACTTAACCCCCAATGTGATGGTCTTAGGAGGTGAGGCCACTGGTAGGTGCTTAGGTAATGAGGAGCCCTCATAAATGGTATTTGTGTCCTTACAAAAGAGATCCCAGAGAGCTCCCTTGTCCCTTGCCACCATGTGAGGACACAGAGATACGATGGCCATCTACGAACCAGGGAGCAGGCCCTCATCAGACACCAAATCAGGCTGCACCTCGTTCTTCCCACCCTCCAGAACTCTAAGAAATAAATTTCTATTGTTTATAAGACATCCAGTTTATGGTATTTTGTCACAGCAGCCCGAACAGACTAAGATAAATACACTCAGGTTTTCCTCAACCTTATAAAGGGAAAGTTCTATTCCACTGTATGAATACATGCTGTTTCTTTAGCTAGTGTCCTATGAACAGACATTTACACTGTTCCAATGTTTTCATATTATAAACGGTGCTACTGTGACCATTCTCCTGCAGCCGTTTTTGCATATCTGGATGATTATTTCCTTAGGACAAGTTCCTAGAAAGAAAATTAGTGGCTCAAAATTATACACATACAAAATTTTGATAACTACTCTCTGACCATCTCCTAGAAAAGCCGTACCAATTTATATCACTGAGTGCCTTTAAATGCATGCATTTCTAGCCAGAGGATATGAAGGGGGGAGGGTAAAATCAGAGGAGGTCAAGTTACCGAAGATTCAATTATTTACCCAAGAAAAAAGATGACTCACAACTTTAATAACCCTCTCTATGCAACAGAAGAAAACAAATGTGTTTGTCCGTGCATAAAAGTAGTTCACATCGCCTGTGCTACAGAAGCTTCTGGGGATGGGATGCTGCAGGTCTGCGGGAATCACACCAACCAGAATACTCACTTCTAATTCCTTCCCCGAGCAACTACTGCCATCATCCAGCCCTCCATGAAAACATGAATACTTTATGTGAGCTTTAGTAAAGCTCCTAGTCTGTTCACTCCTACATATGATGTCAATGTGGAATCACTCGGAAGCCCTTCCGAACCCCACTGGTTGGGAGGTTTCATTGTAGATGAACTGAACTCAAGTGAATATGGTGTTTGGCATGTGGTCTATTCCTGAGGAAATGTTTACTCTAGACGACATTCTCGGTGAAGCAGGTTTTCAGCAAAGCAAATAAAAAGTGATCTAGAGGCAAAGGCAAGTGCTACCAAAGTGAAAATTCAGGATTTACTATAATATCACATATTTCCAATAATTCAGAATAAGATCATATCAGATGTGAATCAAACTTTTTATATAACCAATCAGTTTTGAAAATAAAAAAGAGATAGTCTGGAAATGTTTAATTAAATTTGAATTAAAATCAAATATCAATAGTTTATTTTTCTCCACTCTAGTTTTTAATGTTTTAAGCACCCTTTTGAAAAGATCCTACTCAAATTCTATCTTCCTAGCCAAAGACCATGAAGACTTTTTTTCCTTACTCATTTAATACTCCTGTGCAGCATCAGAGATTGATGATGTCAAAATAGGGCTCACTTATTTCCAGCTCTTCTCACAAACCAAACTTCAATGACCATCAACCAATTTCCTATGAGGTGCAATTTCTCTCACCTAACATGTCTAATGCAAATTATCTGCAGTAGCTTCCTTGCTAATCATCCCCACTCTCCTCTACTACTAAACACACACACACACACACACACACACACTCTTAATATAATGTTTTTAATTATCCACACTGAAGAAGCAACTATGGTGATTATTCAAAACTGCGGATAAAACAAAAATTCACATTTGATTTTGGAAGACATTTTTTAGGGTGACGGAGACAGCAAAGTGTCTACAGGCATATCTTGTATCATTGCGCTTCACAGATGTTGCTGTTTTTTTTGTTTGTTTGTTTTTTGTTTTTAACACGAATTGAAGGCAAGATCTTCCATTAGCAAAGACTATGACTCTCTATGCAGTGGTCTGGAACCAAATCTGAAGTATCTCTGAGGTCAGAAGGTACTTAAGGTTTGTGTTGGGTGACTGCAGTATTTGCTTTCCAAGGCATAAGCATATTCATTCACTCAAACATTTGAAAGGAATTCTTTTGCAAGGAATGCATGAGGGAGAAACCAAAAACCAAGTAAAGACTAGTTCTCTCAGTTTCTAAGGAGCAAACTAATATGAACATCTTCAACGCTGTGCCCCAGCATAAGCATCTTCACTGATTTCAGACAAAAACCCACAGAGCTTCAGTTTCTTGTGGAAAACCTTACTAGTGAATCATTTATCCTCCAATTCCCAGTTTACCAATGTCTGTCTTGTACCTACATCTAGGATAAAGGCGAATAAGAACAAAGTGTTCGACTAAATGGAAGAATTATATCTTTCATTAATTAGGGTCCTGTTTACTATTGTCTACTTCACACGATTGGTACACAGACACAATAAGCCAGGACATCAAGAGTTTTTCACACAGTACCGGGAATATATGGACATATTTAATCAAATGTCAGTTATTATTGTGTTTCTCAGCAAAACCCCTCAATACTCATACTGCCAACTGGGCCTTTTACAAAATACTTCTACATGCACAGTATTACTTCATCCGTTCCACTCAATGGGGAAGGTAGCTTTTACGATACCTATTCCATAGGTGAAGAATCTGAGGCTGGGGAAGTCACGTGACTTGCCCAACGTCACCAAATGATACTTCTGAGCCTGGCAAACAAATCTTTCAGCTTTAAGTCCATGGTGTTCTTCTCTGAAGCCCATTCTATACTATCCTAAGAGCCTCAGGCTGCGAGACTGACCACAAATGTGTTTTGATGTCACCCCCAAGGGGATGCAGTCGATATGTTCATTTATTATTACCTAAAATCAAGAAGCAGAGTTCATTTAACAGAAGAAACAATGGTAATGAGTGAAAGCACCATCAGTTCTTCCCTGTGGTGGGACCACAGATATCAAAGCTGCAGTTTCAGAATCTCCTGAATGCACTGGATTATTACCTACCTTAGCAGTCTCGGCTTCTGCCTGCAGGCGCTTGGGGGTTCCTTTTTGGTCAAGCACCTTCTGGAAATTTTTGTTTTTAATGGATTGAGATTCAACCCCTTCACCCTCAATTTGTAGTTTAATGCCTTCAGCACGGGCAGGGTGATCAATACCCCGTGAATTCAAACCACAGTGGAGAGCTAGAAAAGAGAAAAAAAAAATTACCACTCAGAAAACAAATCATATGAAGGTGTGCATGGCAGACAATATTTCATCTGGCCTAAGTGGGAAGAAACAAGGCATCTGCAAGTTGAGAGGAGGTGCGCTAACCATGGGAAATAATTTGGTGAGGAAGGAATATGCCGGCGTAGGAAACCCTCAGCTCTGAAGTCAGAAAAGACTTCAGTGCAAATCCAGAAACCATCAGTTCCAAGTTGAGCAGGTTACTAATCCCCACATGACAGATGAGAATACCCAATCGGGCAACTTCATTACTGCTTCCCACACATCTCAGCCCCTGCAGTTCAGCTTCTAGCTCTGCCTGCATCTGGAAAAGTGCTCATTCTGGCCCCTTTCTTAATCTTCCTTATTCTTCAAGCATCCACCGAAGTCCACCCTCTGGCATTCATTCGACAAATATTTAGTGAGCACGTACACTATGCCATCCCTAGGTCAGATCCTGGAAACATGGGTGCAGACGTATGGCAGATGCTGCCTTCGAAGAAGTCACAATCCAATAAAAGACAAAAGCGGTCATGATTTTAAAACAGAGTTATCAGTGCTCATGGAAGAGAAGGAGAGAGCAGAATGAAAGGTTCCAGAAAGGCAGGCCTAGTGGCGTCTGGTTTTTCACATCTTACTTTCCACATCCTCTAACACAGATACTCCCACGAGTTAAAATTCAAAGCCCATTTTCTGGGGATATTTAGTCATTCAACAAATACTTAATGAGCCCCTCCTATGTACCCAGTACTTAATATCAAAGAAATAGCAGTGACTGTTATGGGGACCATACATTCCACCTAGATGACCCCCATGAACCACCAGGAGCGGAGGTGTGGGGGCCTGTGGCTGTATATGTAACATGCAGATGGCACATATGTTTTGAGGTTTCTGTTAGGAAATTATCCCACCTCCTTGTGACCCTAATCCTTCATATTTCGTTAAATTCCCATCCTTATTCCCTCCCCTCTGGCCTCAGAGGATTTAAAGTCAGAACCTTAAATCCCCTCCCCGCTCCCTCAGGACTCGACTTCACCGGTAAATTCTTTTTACCCAACATCTTCGGTTTTCCCTTTTCTCATCGCTCTTCCTCTTCAACCAACTTGTGCGATTCTAAAAGTTCCTCCCTTCACTCTGGTCCCCACAGTGGTCAGGGTTTCCTCTTCTCTTCACCAGGCTCCTGAACAAGTATTTTAGACCTGAGAGACGTGAGACGGCTTCCCGGACGTGAGCTAAGGTGTCTTCACTCTCCACTCCCTCCTAACAGGCAGCATCTATTTCCATGATTTTCGATACAATCAACCTGCCAGTGACTCTCACATTTTAACCCGTCTTGAAAGTCCTCTCTCATGAGGTTCAGACATAAGTAAAACTGTAACTCAACATCCCAACTTCAACATATCACTGATATCTCAAATTTAACATGTTCAAAACTGAACCTGGGTTTTTCTTTGAAAACACATTCCCCTTTTCCGGTCCCCTCCAGTTACTCACCCAGAAACTCGAGTCACCCTCAACATCGCTCTTCTCCATGATTCACTACATCCCTTTCATCTCTAATCAGATCCAGTTCTCTACACCTGAAATGCTCCTCAAATCTATCCACTGCCCTCCACGACCCCCCGCCCCCAGTCTACATTGCCCACATCCCTCATCCAGATGGCTGGCCAGCCCAGCTGCTCTTCTTCACTTGACCCCCAAAATCCCATTAAAAAGATGTGTAAGTCAGACCATGAGAAATTTCCGAATGGCTTCATTTTACGCTTAAAATATTAAAAAATCTTTAACATGGCCAACAAGACCCTTTTTTACCTCTCCACCTCCATCTCCCGGTGACCCTCCCTTCAGTGCACTCCGACTCACACGGCCTTGATCACGCCAAGTTTTCTCACCTCCTGAACCCTCTACATGCTTCTTTGTCTGCAACGTTCTCCCCCATTCTTCACCTAATTCCCACGCATCCTTCAGGTTTGGGCTTAAATACCACTTTGCATTTGCCTTCTCTTTACCTCCTTCCTCATCCCCACCCCATGTTCAGTGTGTGCCTGGAACAGTGAGTACTCAACAAAATTTGAATGATCTTAAACTGATTGTACACAGGTCCATATGCATGTGACTTTATAACATTTTATATGGAAAATATCTGTGAATTTCTCTTCTAGCCTCTAAGCTTCCTAAAACTAAGGACAAGCCTATTTCATGGTAAGCACTTGTCATATATTAGTCTGGCTCCTTCCTCGGGCTCTGTGCTGGATCTCAAAGAATCTTCATGAAAAACTGTGAGACATAATTATAATCATTTCACAGATAAGGGAAATGAGGATCAAAGAGTTACAGTCACCAAAAAAAATGTCATACAAGTGTCTGCCGACGGTTAAAAAGATCATATCTCATTAAGGATGGAGACAATTTCACGTTTCAGATGAACAAACCCAAAATGGATTAAATAGTAAGAAAATTTATTAGCTTTTGGAACCAGAAGCCCAGTAATGGTATCAGTTTAGCGTTCGCCGATTTCCCAGTTCAATGGTGTCATCAAGGACTCTGACAGTTTTTTTTAATCTCTCCATTTAATCTTACCCATAACATCGCCTTTATCCTAAACCTTCGTCCCCTCATGGCACCTAGAGCTACAAGCTTCTGTTTCTCATCTAACAATAGAAAAAGCTTGGGTGACCACAGTTCTTTTTCCTCCAAACTTTCATCTTTTCTCACTAGACCAAAGTGAATCACATGTCCATTAGTGAACTAAAATCCTGGCAGTGGAGATAGAACTACCCTTAAATCAACTGACCTTCAGTTAAAGTCAATTCCCCAAACTACATCGCTGCTACTCAATAAGACAGAGGCCAAATAAATGCTGGAGAAGCAGCCACGATGCCCAACTCGGGCAGTGGTAGAGAACGAAACCTACAGAGCACGAGGCTAATTACTGTTACTATCCATCAGCTCCCCCAACTCCAAAGAACAGCCGACTTACAGCAAATACTCAATTCAGTATACTAAAATTGTGATTACCCAAAAAAGGTGTGCTCATGTAGGATGATGGGAGATTGACATGGGATGGATTTAGACATTAATGAGGAAAAGAAAAATGAAGAACTTTTATCCTTCTCTCTGGCATGATCCCCAGTTGCTTCTTGTCTTGAGATTCATGATTTAGGAATACCACTGAGCTGCTGGTTGCTTCCAATACCCCCTGATCCCCTCCTCCATCACCTCCCCACCAAATCAGACTCTAATGCATCCTTCACCTTTGCTCATGCTGGTCCATCCTCCTAGAAAGAGGATCTGTTCCACCTGAATCCTGCTTCCTTCTCCGGGAGGCTAACTCTAGTCAGCCCACCTGTTAACTCAGAAAGCCTAACTGGCTACCAGAGCAAGAAGCCCCTGGCTGTGCTCTCACCATGCACACAGACTCCTAGAGCTGCTTCTCCTCGGTGTATTCAGGGTGTCTGCCCAATTGATCTGTCTGCTTTGCCTACAACTGCAAGCTCTTTGAGGCAGGCTCAATCCCTTATTCATCTCCTTGATTGCCCACCCCCAAGAGTTCAGAACTTGGCATAGAGTAGGCACCCAAGAAACATCTGTTTACTGCTGAATGCATGAGTAATCTTTTCTCCTTCCACGAAAGAAAACTTTTCTCTGATAGTAAATACCTAGTATTCAAAAATGTAAGGTAGCCATAAATATGAGGTAGAAAATGGTATTTTGACTTTCTACACACGTAGCCTTCCTCTTCACGCAAATATTTTAACCCTCCATAGCTGTTCACTCCTTGCCTGCAAACCCAGTAGCTGATTTAAGTTTTTGTGCTTGTGTTTATGTAAAACCGTTTCTGACAGGCTTGGCTTTGTTTTCCCTAGAAATTCGTGTCCCTAACATTCATAAAGCAAACAACTTTCAAATGGCCTCTTACGAACTGTGACTGCCATCTCTTTGCTCATCGTGGAAAAGGGGCCCCTGTTCACTTTCTCTTTTCCATCCTCGCCTCTGCTCTTTACGGTTTCACTGAAGTTATTTACTCTGTTTAACGCGCTCAGCAGCCCAGAGGTCAGTTTTGAGACCCTCGTCCTGCTTCCCTGATCTTCCCAACCACCCGTGTGCCTCATGGATTCCTGGTTATTGAACTGACACTGCCGGAGACGCTGCTGCTGTCACTCCCGTGTTGATGTGGCCGATCCTAAGCACTTCCGAATGAAGAACTGAAAACCAAAACAGATTTCGCGCTTTTAACAGGGATGTTTTTCACCGCAAATGCGCATTAGCATTGCTTGGAGATGCCATTTTGAAGGCACCATCTCTTTTTCACCTGCGAAAACCCACTCCCTCAGAAAGTCAAACCCTTGTGCATTGCTGGTGGGACTATAAAATGGCGCAGCTGCTGTGGAAAACTGTATGGAGATTCCTCAAAAAAGTTAAATAGAATTACCATTTGATTCAGCCATTCAAGTGAAGAATTGAAAGTAGGGACTCAGATACTTGTACATCCATGTTCACAGCAGCATTATTCACAGTAGCCGAAAGGTGGAAGTAGCCTGAATTTCCACTGATGGATGAATGGATAAACGAAATGTAGTACACATATACAATGGAATATTATTCAGTCTTAGAAAGGAAGTTCTGACACATGCTACAACAGGGATGAACCTTGAAGACATGCGAAATGAAATAAGCCAGTCCCAGAAAGATAAACATTGGATGATTCCACCGATGAGGTACTCAGAGTAGTCAAATTCACGGAGACAGGAAGTAGGACAGTGGTCACCAAGGTATGTAGGAGACGGGAATGGGGAATTATTGCTTAGTACAGAGTTGCAGTTTGGGACAGTGAAGAAGTTCTAGAGATGGAGAGTGGTGACAGTTGCCCAACAATGTGACAGTACTTAACGCCACTGAGCCATACACTTGACAATGGTTAAAATAAAAAAATTTAAGTTATGTACATATTACATGAAAATGAAATTTAAAACAAACA